GCAGCCGCAGCGAGGAAGAAGGCAGCACGGGGCAGAGGGATGTGAAGCCCTTGCCTGCAACCAGGGCCACACTGGGGATTTCACCAGTTCACCTTGAGACACTCTCAGAGTGTGTGAGAGGTTTTACCCAAGGCCACACAGCCAGCCCTCGCTGGGCTCTGCCTGCCCTCAAATCATTGCTGCACCCCCTGCTAATGGAAGGATTTGCTGGGGGCGGTTAAACACCCACATAACAAGAGGACACAGATAACCCGTCAAGGATGCAATGAAACAAGGTTACTACAGCTAGATCAGAGCAGATTTAGGTTCAGTACTCCTTCCCAAAAAATCTGTGCTGGTCTTGCAAGCAGCCACCTGCATCCCACTTGGGAAAAAATGTCTTTGCTGTTTGGTGTCTGTGTGGATCCAAAACCCCAAGAGGCAGATCTCTGTTACCAACCTGAATGCAAACACAAAGCTCCTCACTGACCCACTGGGTTGAGATTTCAGCCCAGTACAACTTCTCCAGTGTGCTAAATCTGCCAGCTCGGATCCTTGGCTTGTTTCCTTCACCACCATCAGGTCTAGACAGACAGGTGATGGCAGTGGGGAGGGAGGCTCTGCTGTGCATCTGCTGAGCTGCTGTGGGACCGGGGGCTTGTGCCCTGCTCTGGCTGATGCTAAGGGGAAAAGGGTGACAGGACAGAGCCAGTCCCTGTCCCTCCATAAATCTCCCTCCCTCCCGTGGCTCGGGAAGCAGTTCAGGAGCTAAAGGTGTGTTATGATGGTGAAGAATTGGCTCTGTACCCAGACCTGAAGAACAACTGCAGCTGGGCTTATTTGCTCCAAGTGCCTGCCTCTCTTTCCTATGTCACTGGGCAGGGACCGTTCCTCTCCTAACAACGTCCCATATCCAAATTAAAAGTCCCCTGATTTTGCTGATGGGTTCCAGGAGTTTGCTAAGAATAACACTAGATTAGTGTCTCCTTCCATGGGATATATGCCTAAAAATGTTGTAGCACGCGTGCTCCCGTCTGCTCCTGGTGTGACAAATTTCATTCCACGGAGCAGGGTAATGTTTTTCTGTGTGTTTCAAGCAGACAATATAGGTGACAGAACATCTGCACTTCATTCAACCCCTGTGCGTCATCCAGCATTTTCTTGGTATTTTGCTATTGTTTTGTTGTTGGGTTTTTTTTTTCCTTCTTGCTTTTTTTAAACAAACAAACCCTGCAAAGGCTCCCACAGGGTAGAGGACACACATTGCAATACCAACCCCAAAGAAATAAATGAGGCTGGTTTTGCAAAGGTCTGGTATGTTCTGAGGAAAACCCAAAGCCTGGAGCTTTCCCGTTTTCAGGGCAGCACAGAAGGAAATGGTTGGGCTGGTATCATTTGTGCCTGCAAGAGGCGGGGGACGCTGACGCTGGCTCTCAGTCCCACATCACAATTGTCCCTTGTTCCACAGAGAACAAGACTCTTCACAAATGCTGAACTGTTTTACAGCAGAGCTTAAGAGTTCAAATCCCAAGTCTTTGCTGTCTGACTGAAGCCACTGGGTTAAATTCTGCACCCCTCACTTAGTCATTAACTCAGCCAGAGTTTTCCTTCGTAAAGCCTAAGTAAACAGCCACAGCCCTGCAGTGGAAAGGAGCTGTCAGGCACTGTGCTCCTTCTGGAGCAGAGAGCCATGAGCACCTGCAGCCTGGGGACTCACACACACGTTTTGGTCTGCTGCTGAGTGATCAACTCCCCTGCAACGCCTCCAGCTCTGGGAAGACGGGACCAGCCAGCTGCACAGCTGGACAGGCTCAAGAAGAAGCTGTTTTACTTCAGGTCAGCACAGCAGCACGCCCAGTTCCCCTGAAACATGTGCAATCAGATTACGCACAGCTAGTCACGTACTGCAGAACCATGTGGGAACTAATGGTTTGACCCCCTCTTCGGGTACCCCTTTGAAAGGTCTCTGTTCCCACACCGCCTCACACCCAGTCCTTCCTCCCAGCACTTCACAACTGCTCCCAGATCTACAAACTACCCAACACCCCTGGAAGCTGAGAGTGCCTTCCTTACCCTGCCCATCTCAGCTGCTTCGCATACCTTGTCCCCCTTTCCATGCTGACTCCCCCTTTCTAAGGGGAAGGAGTTGATTTTTGTACTTGCACTGTGGCCCTGCCAAGCAATCCCAGCCCTGGAAGGGGCCTCCTCCATCGGATCTGCTGCTCACAAACCCGATGAGCCATCAGGAGGGGAGAGTGGTGAGGCAGCAGCGAGACGGAGTCTCCGCACGTTTGTGAGGAACCCAGAGGCTAACAATAGTGGCAAGCACCACTGAGAAGCCTATAAATAAATCCATATTCCTCCTGTTTTCGCTCTCCCCCTGGCGCTGACCTGCTTTCCAACCAAAGCTGGGAAGCAGCACCTCCCCTGCCCCTACCTGCCAGGCACGTGACTGTGTTCCCACCCCCGGCACCAGAAGCTCTGCAAATATAGAAACCCTCGTACGGTCCCCAGCCTTGGACTTGCACAATCTGTCAGTTATAATTACAGCTGAGCTCTCCAAAGCTGCCGTCAATCACCCCAATCCTGCCCTCTCCCCTACTCCCTCTGCCTGCTTGGTGGCTAAAAATAGCACGTTCCAGTAGAGCCGTTCACCTTGTGCCAAGCACTTGCTCCCCGTCCATGGCACAGATGCTCTTTCTCCCTCCCGCCTCCTCCTCTCCTCGCAGCAGCTGAACACACAAGAGGAGTAAATACTCCCCGTCCACTTCAGCCTCATCAGCAGAAGGAAATCTGTAAGCCAGGTTTGCCTTGTTTGCCCCATGTATCAGGTATGGTTTGGGCAAACTTCCCAAACACGTAATGGACATGGTGGGCAGTGTTTCAAACTGGGTATTGCGGGATAACCTCTGTAAATAAAGAAGAAGATGGCTTTCCTGCCCACAGAATTTGAGGACTCTCAGCTGGGCATGCCAGCAGGGTGTCAGTCAGTATTAACTGACAGCCGTACTGCTTTTGAAAGCCTGGATGCCCTTGTCCCCTGGAGTCTGGGCTGAGATCCATCAGACTTAGGCCACATAACCCACTGGAGTGTCATCAGGCTGTTTCTGGATGTGGGTCACAAGCATTACCATACAAAATCGTTTATGCATTGAGAGGATGCCTACTGCAACAAGACAAAAACAAACACAAAAGAAGAGTAAACAGCCAGACACCTACAGCAAGACTTAAAAGATTCACGCTGCGATTTGCAGGGGTATCACCAATTGTGTTTATAAACAAGGTAAATCAGGCTTTTGACTATAGTGGAATACATCTAGAGGTTGCTTGGTAGAGTAATTCTAGATTTCTGCTATTAAAAACCAGGATATGGCCCATAAAGTATTAAAAACTACCTGACAGTATCCTTGGGTAAGTTATTTCTGTTTCAGATCCTATCCCACTGCTTTGGACAGACGGGGTGCAAAGGCGGGTGGCAGTACTACGCTGTGGATTCTTGATATTGCCAAAACTGCATCAAGGGATAGGGAAGATTTCTTATTCTGTTGCCACTTGAACTGGAATCCTCCCCAAAATGTGTGTTCTGCTTTTTAGGGCTATTTATTGTTATAAATAACAAATACTTCACAAGTCTCTGGGCTCCTTATATTTTGGTACAGACACTGGAACCTGCACCTCTGTCAGAACACAGGAGTCTGCTGGGATTCTGCCTTACACTTTCACTGCTGTTTTTCCTTGAAACAGGAGCATTCATCACGTGAGTCAGCTGGTTAATGATGAACCTTGGCGTGCTGTTAACATGTCCTGTAACACTGCAGCAGTTTTGATGAGTATGCCTTAACCAGCAGAGTTAAATAAATAACTATCGTACCAGTCAGATCTGGCATGTGATGTTCTAAATAACTGTTTAACAAAGAGAAACTATTTTCACACGTAGACTTGAAGCAGGTGGAACCCCTGTGGTGGATTAATCTGACTAACAAAGTATTACCTAGTTTATACTAATTATTGTTCTTGCCTACAATTAACCTGCCAGCCACAATGCAGATTACTAATCTTGTCCTTTAAAACTTGGCCTCCGGCATCTGAGGACAATGACCTCCAGTTTATGTTCTCAAGCTGCTGCATTTAAAACCACAGCCCAAACTACTTCCACACAGATCAGCCCAGTAGCTGGAAACCATAGCACAATGTCATCCTCAAAGTGGACCTGCCACAAGGCAGAAAGTGGACAGTTGCATATTTCATAGGCATGTTCTACCAGGATCCATCTGGCATAACCTGAATGTGCAAACTCACATTCCCCATGTGCTGCTCCACTTGCACACACATTTCTACAGACCTGTTTAAAAACACAGCTGCAGTTCAGATCTCTGACTATGAAACTCTTCAGAGAGTCAGGGCTCACCTGAGGAGCCACCAGTGCTCTCTGCACACTCTTCCCCTTCTCACCTCCATCCCACATGACTCTGCCTCTCGGGATTGACAAACTCTGCGCAGATCTTACCTTCTTTGGCCTCTCGTGGTGGGATACATGCTTCTCTTGAGCAGGGGATGTGGATCGACTCCTTCTTCCAGCAATGAAGGAGCTACTGCCAGAGTGACGTGAGGTCTTCTGAGGTAAGTGGGGAAGGGGAGAGGAGGTGGAGAACAGGAGAAAAAAGAGAAAGAGAGGAAACAGTGTTATAGAGTCCAGCTTTCACTGTTACAGTAAATGGCTTGTCTACCACATGCAGGACCAAACTCTTTTTGTACCAGATGCCCAGCCTGGTTCCTAACGTGGGCACCACAGCAGATACCACACTAGTGGGCTTACAAAGAGCATGTAGATTTATCTCCACAAATCCTTGGTTCTTGGCCTATGCAGACTGACACTTGTAAGAAGAAAGGCACAGCTGCTATGAGACCATTCTGTAAACAACAAGATAAACAGTAGCAGCAACGTTGCTTAGAGAAGCCCGTCCTCCTGAACAGCCGTGTCCAGCTTTCAGTCTGGAGTGGGGTATGGGGGTGTGTGTGGAAGGACACCCTCTTCTCACACTCCAGGCACTAGCAGAAGTCCTGCTATCGATCTCAGCATCAGTAAACTTGATACAGAGCTACACTTGTGTCAGATACTGAGGGTACCTGAAGGGCAGGGAAGGTGTCCTCCAGTTTGACTTTGAGGAGAAGCTCAAGACATCAGTCACTGTATCTGACAGCACTGATAAGCAGGAAGGAAAGTGGAAAAGACCAGCAACAAAGGAGGCACTGAGACATAAAGCTGTAGTGACAGGATCAAGTTTCCTTTTTGCTGGAGGGGGGAGAGCAGGTGCCTATTAACGATGCAGAACAGGAAAAGGGTTCCTCTCTTTCCTCTTGCTACTGTAATTAATGTAATTAATAGGGGGAAGTCCTTTGCCCTAAATATCCCTCAAACAGTGAACGACTCCATGTCTCTTCTGGTCTGTCTCTGTCCTCAGGCAGAAGTTTTGGCTGTTCACTGTTACACCTTCTTGCCCAGGGTACCTGAGCTACAGCCCTAACTCCCTGGAGTATCAAACATCACGGCTGCTCTCCTTTCTTGGGACTTAGCGTTCAGCTATACAGACTGGGTCAGAGAAGCCAACACAGATGGGAAGAATTCAACCCCTACTTTTGAAAAGGGGTTTAAAGATGCTACAGAAATGCAAAATATAAATTAATCTTTATTCCTAAGTGACTCTAACTGAGTGGCTGAAAAGGGAAGCAGGCTGCAGGCCTTGTTTAAGTGTTCTTGGCACTTCTGACTGCTCTGAGCACAGAGAAATTTTAGGATGAAGACAATGCCTTGTATGTGACAAAAAAACTCCAGTGCAGACATGAAGAAACTCACCATTTTATTGAAGTGGTACTTGCAGTAGCCACAATATTTGACATTGTCGACTTCCAGGACTTCCTCTTCACATAAGAGGCCAGCCATCTGGGCACTGAAATACAGACAATTAGGAGGAGGATAAAGCAAATTGTACAGCCAGACCACATATCCCATCAAAGGGCAAAGAACAGTTCAGGATAGCCAGGCAGGGTCTTGAAGTTGCCTGTTCTGCTTGGCAAAGGGTATGCAAGGAGGGAGAAAAAGTCCAGTCTATTTTTAATTCATATTAAGATCTTCAAATTATCGGTACTTTTCCAGCAGATTGTCTTGCGACTTTTGTTCTTCCTCAGGGAGGCCTGGGAGACCAGTAACAATTCCAACAAAAGACAGATCATGAGCAAGAAATCAAGAAATCTGTGTAAAGCTTGGAATCTCCCTGTTGGGCTGACAGGCAATGTTGTTTTCAGACTGCAAGGGTACGTGAGGATATCAGCCCTTAAAATCACATCATCTAGATGATACTCTCAAATGTGCTCTGCTGGAGAAGGAACATTCCTGGGTTGTGACTCATCTCTTCTCTTCTTGGATACCACATAGTCTTAGGGAAATCCCCAGCCTTCATTCTCAGCAGAGAAGGAAGGCTCATTGGTGAAACCTCAGCCTTCCTGGGGAAGTTCCCTTTACAAACTGAGCAAGGATGAGATACCCTTTGCACAAAATAAACCCAGGATGATTTAGCCCAACACTCCACATCACCCATTTGATGTGGCCTCAAAGCCACAGCAACAAACCCAATAGCTGGGGCTATTCTTAGGGTGATGCAGTGGGAAACTCACCAGGTGACATGGAAAGCTTGCCGGCAGCCGTGTCGGTTACAAGCCATGCATGCTCCAGAGGCTGCTTTGCTCTCCCTGCCCTGCTCTTCACAGATATAGCAGGTCTGCAGAATAAAAAAGAGGAAAAAAAAAGTGCTCACTCAAAGAGGCAGATAAAGTGTCTATTTCACTCTCACTCTTCACCAGGAGGCAAAACCTTCACTCTGTGTCCAGTCCTCTCCCTCCTATGACAACAGCTCTGGGTTATTTCTCAGTGGAATGCACAAAACTCACGCATCTTCTTTTTCTCTCCAAATAACAACTGTGTCAGATCAAAATGTGGAGTAACCAACATGCAACTCCAAGGTGGAGACTGCTCAAGTTGTGGGGAGTTGGGGAAGAGAGAAATGGAGGACCAAAAAGTTATTTGCAGAAAGGGGGATTTACTTTGTGAGTTATTTTTAAAGGAATCTGAGTACCTGGAAATTAAATTGAACAGGAGATGTGGCAGAATAAGATGACCCCAAAAAGCCAAGGTGGGACAAATACACTTTGGGCAGCAGGAGAAAGAGATGGCCTTACCTTGTTGAAGCGGTCGTGAGGTACATACTGCAGGACAATTGGCTCCATGGTGAGCACGTTGGCAAACTGCACCTCTGGGATGTACAAAGCACAAACAACGTGGGCCCACCCTGGGGAAGCACACAAGACAGAGAGTGGAGATTCACACGGGGCAACCCAGAAGAGCCTTAAACTCAGACAAGGCTGCAGACAGGCATGGGAGGGAGAGAATGGAGCATAGGAAGGAAGCCAACTTAAGTCAGATGTTAGATTTGAAATACTGCTTGTTGTAACTTGGTTAGGAATCAAATCCTTTGTAGGTGAAAGACAGACAGATACCACCTCCAGATTAAATAAAACAGCAAGAGATTTCTTTGGGAAATGTATAATGCTCATCGTTCTTAAAAGCACCCCCTCAGGACTTGAGACCCAGAGTTGAAGACCTAATCAAATCCAGGAAAAGCATCCAAGCAGTAAATGATGCTGATGGGACAGGTTTGACGTGTAGTCAAAACAAAGCTCCCTTTATTGGCTGTTATCAACGGCTAAAGAAGGCTCTTTTTCAGCAAGCCAAGTTAGATTAAAATCTAAATCCACCAAGATACTTCCCAAATCAGACGTGTAAGTTGAAATTCCATCTGGTCAGGACAAAACTGAGAAAATTTGAAGGTCAGGAGCTTTTGGGGGCTGATCCATACTGGTATGGCTGGAAGGATTTAGCTAGAATTAGGATGGATTCACCTGGGCAGGTGGAAGTAAACTCCGTGATTACAGAATCATACAGCACTAAGTACTTGGGCTATATAATTGTGTACAGTGACATGGTTGTAACACTTCTTGTGCCTGTCTACACAGACATGACTAAACCATGAAACAACATGTTTGGAAGAAGGTGCTATGTTATTATAAAACAATCCCTCAACACGATACTTGTGCTATTACACTAAGGCTCTTGGCACTTGTGACCGGCTCCAGCAGATGCTTCTACAAAATATCATGGACTTAAAGCTTCTTAATATGGGATCCATCAGAATAAAGACCTCCTTGCCTAATTTAACTCTTTGGATATTAAGGCAAGTGGCAGGTAGGTACAAAAACCTTTCTGAAAAGTAAGGTTTTGAGAAAAATTAAGTTTGATCTATGCAGCCAGTAGCATCAATAGCTACAAGCTCTGACAACTGAAATCAGACTCACAGTACTTCACAGCACCAGAGGCTGTGAAGCATCAATGATAAGCAGATAAGTCCTGCCGAGAAAAACATCTTTACTGTGTCCTGGTCTCTGCTCTTGGATGGAGACTCAAGGCTGAGGCTTTGTTAATCTGAAGATCACGCTGCTGCTGGGCAAGCATGCAGCAAATAACTCGGCAACTTCCACATTTCTATAAACAATGCCAGATTGTGCACTGATTCCTGTGAGGTTAAACTTAAGAAACTGCACGTTTTGGGGGCTGTGCTTCAATGCCAGCCAGAAGTCAGACAGGTTCCCTCTTAGAGAAAGGTCTTCTCACCATGGAGGCTCCAGAAAGTGAAGTTTTGTGAGAAAAAGTAGAGTGTTTTCATTCCTCTGGAGCCTCCAGCCTTCCCTTTCTGGTGACATAGGCTCAGAAATGAATTATTTTGTGCCCAGGACAGCTGCTGAGTCCCTGGAGTCTCTGCACGACATACCTGGTTCCACGCAGAGGTACTCACCTCCGTTGTCAGTCCGTTTCAGGGCTCCATCTTTGTGGGGACACAGTTCACATCTCTTGAAATTAAGCAGAAACAACAAGTTTAATCTAAGTCCCAGGGGCGCGGGGCCAGAAAAGAGATGATTCATTTACAACATGGTTCTGACAGATGGGACTGCTTTCAAAGAGAGGAAGTGGAAGAAGGGCTAAGAGCAGTTTGGGTGCAAAAAGATACTCTGACACAGCTCGATATCGTCCTGTCTGACAGGGACATATTTAAAGCCTCAGCCCAAGGGCCACGGGGCTACAAGTGAACCTTGACTTTCACGGGGCTTTTTAAAAAATATCATTTTAGACTTTGCGGTTGGGGAGTAAAACTGAAAACCATGACTCAGAGAGCAGAAGGCAAATAAAAAGAAGCCATTATCTATCTTTGCCTCTTTCCTTCCTTCCTTCTCTCTTTCTCTTGTGATATTTTTTCCAGTCTCATGAGAAGTGGGTGAGGTTGTCATGATGTTTTTGCTGGCGGGGTGTGGGAGGCCATAGCAAGCCTGACCCCAAGGCATGGGACTGGCGGGTGGGCACCCTGCTTCCCCCCAAACCCGGCCTCGGAGGTGGCTGAGGTGTGATGGAGAGGGCGTGAGGGGAGCATTGGAGAGTCCCCACTGCCTGGGAGGGTGGAAGAAGGTCCCTCAGCACCATCATGCTGGGCAGAAGGCCGCAGGCCCAGCGCCATGATGAGGGATGGGAGTGACTCTGCGCCTCTCTCCATGCCCAGTCACTAAAAGCTGCTTTTGGGGGAAAACTGTGAGGGGGAGACATGTTGTCTCCTCCAGCCAAAGCCAGCAGCCACAAGGTGATGGGAGATGAGCTCCATCACACCCAGCCCCAAGGGCCGGGAGGCCTCCAAAAGCCGAGGGAACCCAGCGCCATGGCCCTCGGCACCATGTCTCACCTCACAGTCAACGACAAGACCCTGCACTCATTTTTCCCCCCTCACTATTTTCAGCCCTGCCTGGCCATCACTGGCCTCCACATTGGCCGATGGCCACACGAGAGTTCTCCACCCCGGCCATAACGCCCTGTGGAAGCGTTGATGGAAGGTGGGGCAGTTTCGGGGCACATTGCCACGCATGGGGGAACACGCTCCCAGCCCTGAGGGCCCCTCCTGGGTTGAGGTGTCTGAAAATGGTTGTTGTCTTCTCATGGCATTACTCAGGGAAAACTTCTATGTGCTTTTTGGTTTGTTTGACTTTAAAAAAAAAAATAAAAAATTAAAAGACCCAAAAACCTGCAAGGTGCAACCCTCAGCCCTCTTCCTTCCCTAGTGGAAACATCTGATTTGTTAAAAAACAAAACAAAACAAAAAAACCACCCCCATGACTTCCATTGTAGGGTTTGCAAGCAAGAGGAATACTGATGTGTGAAGAGGCTTGGGAGGCACTCCCCCCGTTTTTCTGTGAAAAAATGTGCTTTGTCAGAAAGTTTTGAAATGAGGTGACTGGTGTCAAAGCGAGACGGCGAGCTGTGCTGCTATGAGTGTGAGGGACATGGCTTTCTCGCTTGCCTGAGCTTTGCTGTGATCACTCGACTCTGGTAACGGGGCAGGTGCTCCATGCCCCAAAAAAACCATCATATTGAGCAGTAACTGGCCATGAGCAAAAGCTTCTGCCATTGAGTAGGACCTTCCCACAAAGGTGGTTTTCCCTCAAACAAGCTCAAGGTTTCCTCTGCTGAAGTTTTACCTCCTGGATGGATTGGGACAATAAATAGGATTGCAGTGCTATGGGCAGTTGGGAAGCTCAGCCTGATCCTCCAGCACTTCCATAGGAGTCAAGAACGTGAGGCTGTCAAACAGGCACCTTTGGCAAGCAGGAAATCCTTGTGATAACGTATAAATAAGAGATGATGGGACAAAGACCAGTGTCATCATCTGCAGCCTGTCTCGCTTTCCCTGCGACCAAGTACGGATGGATGACCATGTCTCTCACTGCTCCTACTTGGGTCCAGGCTGCCAGAGGGCTGGAGAGCTGCTCTCACAATTACTATGGAAAGCCAGGCAGAGCCAAGACAGAAAAAGAACTGGGTTAACCGAGACACTGTAATAAGAAATTTGCACTTGAAAAGGCCCCTCCGCTCTCCCCTCCACCCCTCAGATCAAAGCGGCTCTCCCACCATGCGATTAGCAAAGCTCTGATTGTAACAAGAGGGGTTAACAGCTCCATCGGCCCCACACAAGACTTTTAATAGCCCTGCCTCTAAATGACAGCTAAAGCCTTCACATGATCCCTCACATGAGTGCCCTCTGGCCATTGCAGCTCACCGGGCTTCCTAGACAATTTGATTACAAAGTGGATGGGCTTTCAGTTGCTTACTGTAAGCACAATAGCATCCACAGCATCCTTTAGGGACCTGAGCATCTGAGGAGGGGTTATGAGCAGGGATTAGCAGAACCTCTTCCTTTTATTCAACCTGCACAGGCCAAGGCAGTCTGTGGGGTTTTTATTTCAACTCTGGGAAAAGAGCAGAGCTTGGCTGATTTAAAACAGGTTATGATGGCTAAGGTTAGAGCTCCTGACCCCCTGGGGCTTAGAACTCTGGGATCTACCACCAGCTACTACACCTGCTGACTGAAGTTAGGGCTCCTGAGCTCTCTTTCCACAGCTGAAGAGGGGATGGAGTCCATCTCTAGAAATCAGGATACAGAAGTGAAGAGACTTATGTTTAAACGCACTCACTAAGGAGTGCAATATTCTTTATGCCTCTGTATCTCATTTTCAAAGCAAAAGTATCAATACTTAGCCAATAAATACGTTTTCTATGCACAAAGCTTGTAAAATGTTTTTAAATGCCTCTATGAAGGCAGATGTGGGAAGAAAAACATTCTTGGTTTTCAAAGAAGTTTGCTACACAGTCATTATGAAAGAAATACGAATATCAATTCACCCTGCTGCTGTTGATGGTGTATTTTGCGCTCAAATAGCAGCATCTCTCCTTCAAGATCCTCAAGACAGCATCTGCAGGCTGATAATGTTCCTTTTACAGCTGGAGAAAGCCAGACACAGAGAGGTGCAGTGGAAGAGCCATAACCTCCAGCCTCGCTGAACCACGGAGCACAAATTCAAAGTATTTTAGTAGCAGAGCCACGCACAGATCTCATAAGACCTGACTCATTTCCCTTACTCTGATCATGCTGCTCTCTACATCAAAGAACTAGATTCTTTTTAAGTATTTACCCATCTGCGTGTCTGTTGCTATGACTGCTGGTGTTTCACTGAAAAGGTGAGGGATTTCGATAGGAAATCATCCCTTGCTCTGCTTAGGAAGGAAGATTATCACTGTTTAGTTATTATAGTAGCAGGACTGAATGCCACAGGACTGAATGGCATGACTGAAGGCCACCACGCATTGTCTACCAGATTTAACTGAGGGCGAGTTAAATAAGGAGCCACCTGCAGGGGTATTGTTTTCTTGATACCTTGGAGGCAGTTTGAAGTGTGTGTATAACGTGCAAGTGAAAAGTTACAGTCCTTGCAATGAGCACAGGTGAGGACGACTTGTGTGTACATGTATTACTACAGCTTATGTTGAATTACAGCTAACACTGAAGAACTTCTCTCTGGGAGAGCAGGGGGAAGGAGGCCCACAAAATCCAAATTCCTTTCTTTGCTATGAAACTATCTGCAGGATGTAAAACCACTCAAAGACACATTTGATCTTCTTTACTGCAGTGCACATAAAAGCAGCATCTTACAATGAGAAAAGAGCCCAGGTCTGAAAGTCTGGTCTTGTTTACACTCCCACTTCCAATGAGGAATGAGTTAATGCAATGTAGAAAGCATGGTACAGATACCTAATTCCCCCATTCGCTCATCTTTGCCAAGTTCTTCGCCCATCTGTGAAACAGATTAAACTTTTGTCCTGCAGCAAGCAGAGAGCCCAGCTGAGATGGAGCACGCTATTTGCTCAGGCCCACACAGATCCGCAGATTCAGAGGTCACCTACCCCAGCTTCACTAGCTGTGTACTTTAGAAAAGATTTAGCTAAACCAGTTCCAAAGGCAGTGCAAGGCGTTAGCAAATGTTATTCCTGCTGACTGAGGTTTTCTGTATTTAAGGAAAGCTCAAGTTTAATTGAAACCCACCTCTAAGGAAGCAAAAGTGGGGAGGCTATCTTGGATTTACTGCAAGGCAAAAGCAGCTTCCATGGCACAACTAACATGTTAAAGACCTACACCCCGGCACCTCAGCAGCTGGTTGGTGCAGCCGTATCTGATAAGGGCTGAAATGGGAAGTTATTGCAGAGTAGCTGGTGTGCTATAAACTCACAGCCTAGCCTAGTTTACTGCCCAAATAACTTTGCCACATAGACAGACCTAAGAGGCAGCCCTGCCCTGATTGTTTCCACTTCCCTGCCTCACCGGGAAATGCCAGAATTAATTAAGAACATTTGTAAAGTGTTCTATACTGCTGAATTGCTACTTCGACAGAAACTATACCCTGATCCAGCTTCCTGTCATTTCCTCTGCTGTTCTACAAACTCAGAAGACTTTATGCAGGAGACTGTTGCTGGGAGATAATGAATGTCAATCCACCCTGTCAGTCAGTATGATAACTCTGACAGTACAGCAGCACCTCAGGTGATGCCAACTTCCCTCCCCTCCAAAACTTCTTGAGAAGGCGAATAGATAAAACAACAGGGAAGCCACCTTTTAGAAGAATGCCATTATTTTTTTTTAGAGGAAGATTGAGGTCTCTAGACTCAAAACTTTTGGCATTGATAACTTGCTTAAAAGCAACTCTGGCAGCAGCTTCATCAAAATGGCTAATAGCATCGTAGAAAATTGTTTGATGGAATTATTCCTATTGTATAAACAAGATATAGCAGGTTACAGGCAGAGCTGGGATTGCAATCACAGTAGTGCTGAGATGTCAGGCTCTATCACTTTTTCCAGGGGACCATGCTGCTTCCAGCAGAGACACGAAGGATGTTGAACGAACTCATTAAAGTGTTAAGTACAAGTGTGCTCCGTACTCACCACCCGGGCGGCTCGCTCCTGAGATTCACATTTCCGACAGAACCAGGGTCCGGTAGGAACCTGGACAATTCCATAGCAAGCTGGAAGAAAAGCAAAGAGAGTTCATTAGACCATCTTTAAATCAACTGTTTGATATCTCAGGTGTATATAAAAGTTTGCCAGAGCTGTTATTGGTCAGAGATGGGTGACAAAAACGACATCTACGCAGCATTTCATTCCCCTTTCTAGTGTCCACACCCTGCAACAGCAGACAGCCTTTTGCAAGAACTCCAGTGTTATATATTTAGTCAAATTTTCAAATAAGCTCGTGCCCAGTATGGAAAATTCTTATAAAAATCTGGCCAAAGTGGGTAACAAGTCCTTCATAAACTCTGTCTAATTCTGATCTAGTGAACACAAGTGGAGCAATTTCTTACCCCTTCACTTTTCAAGTGTCCCTAGTGATCCAAGTATGAAATTATGAAATGGATGGCTCTGAAGCACCTTAACCATAATGAGGACTAAGATAAAATCTCAGCATCATGAAGGAAATAATCTCAGTGAGAATTCTGCCAGACACCAAGCGAAACTCCCATTTATCCTGCACACCCTCAAGTCTGTAAGTCACGTCCAGTGGCAGCCTCTTGCAGAGTGCTTCCAAGATCACCAAATTCAGGCTTTTTAGGACTACTCCCAGGAACAGGTTCTGTCTTAATGCAAGTCTCCAGCAGATAACCCAACAAAACTGCTGTTTTTTATCCAGCTTTATCCAACCATGCATCCCTTTTGCTTTCTGCATCACTACTGATGCTCTCAGGGTCTCTCTCTGCGAGCTGCAGCTCCCACTTCTTTAACATTAGCTCCCCTCTCTGATGGGGCAATGCTGCTTGAAGACTGTTCCTCTTCCTTGGCAATCTTCTCCCTCTAACCATCCAAGGGTGGTCTTTCTGAGTCCCAGAGGAAGCATTTCTGACCCTAAAAGGGCTCTTAGCCATCAGGCAAGTGGGTTTAGAGCAACAGACGGTGGTAAAGATACTGATAAGAAGTAAGGCTATGCATCTCAGACGAGAGTATAGGAGTCTCCCAGGAAAGAACAAATTGTATCTTCCTTATTCCACCTTCAAACACGAGCTGGCAGTTGGAATGGAATCCCAGTCACTCGAGACATTTGAAACTAGGTTGGACAAAGCATCTGAAAATATCCTGCTGGAAGCAATCCTATGATGTTCCCTGGGGAACGGACCAAACACAACCCACAATAGGTTCTTTCCATCTCTCTAATGTCTATTATTCCACATCAGCCAGGAAAACGAATGCAATTGTAGAGTTAAACCGAAAGAGCTGACTGAGAGATGAGCCAAGGCATACACATAAGAAAATAGAAACTACATGAGAGCAATGACAGAGGAGCCTGCCTTGGGTCCAACTTTAGCAGTGGGCTTGGGGCCAAAAGCAAGCACTCAGCTGGAGCCAGTGCGAGCTTCTGTGCCCACTGCTTCAAAAAGGAAGCAAACAAGGAACAATGCAGAACATAAGTAAGGCAGAGCTGAAAATATGATTTGTGAATGTTCTTAACTACTTTAGTAGAGTCTTCATTTCCAGTCAGATATTACTGTTAACCCTTTGAATTTTTTTACTGGAAAGATAAGATTTCTAACCATTGCCACAGAAACAGTACTGATATTTTTAAGAATCAGCCCTCATGTGCAGCGATAATATAAGCTTAAAAAAATTACAGGCTTCTTTATTTAGCTGTACAATCATTTCAAAAGGTAACTTTGGTTTTGTGGATATTCAAGTAGTACAAAGAGATACTAAACCCAGTGTATGATTGCACGGAATGAGACTAGATGACCCAGATGATCCCCTACAGTGGTTTGTTTCTATTGAAAAAATAAATAAATAAATAAAAGCCTACCAAAACACCACACTGCTGCTAGGTTTATGAGCAAGCTTTAAAAAGAGGGTTGAAGAAGAACCACTACACACTGCTACACTCCTTATGAATTATTGTACCCTGAACGACTCTTACAAGACCTAAATAGACAGTTGTGTTTCCCAAACTCACAAGCTGTGTCCTCTCTGAGACTTTTCTAACACGTTCCAACTCTACCAAAGCAACACTACGTGCCCGCTTCCCCATCGCCACAGCGAACACACACATCCAGTCTCCGTACCTGTGTGGACCTAGAAACAGGTACCCTAAAAGAATAAAAGCATTGCACATTTGAAACTGTTCTTGTACATTTGAAACTGTTCTTGCACGTTTGAAACCGTTCTTGCAAGCAAACAAAAGTTTATATTAATTTGGGGAGTGATCATAAGGATGCCAATGCCCTTTATCTCCCTCCAAAATAAGAGAGTGATGAAGAAACCTGTTCTCCAGCCTGTGGTTTGATAAATAAGTGGAAGAAGGGAAGACTTACACCAGCAAAATTAAAACAGAAAGAAGTGTCTTTCCAGAGAGACCCTCACCCTTCCAGGTCACTCAGAGCCACCCAGCAGAGGCTGCCTCATGGCAGCAGACACCCGAGCATTGCCTCCAAATGCAGAGAAATCCCCTGCGAGCTTCGCTTCCTCATTTCCACTGGTTGTAATTGACTTCTTACTAAAGCAGGGCTACACCAAACGTAGGAAAAGCAAAAGCAAGCTCAACCTACAGACCCAGAGACCTGCGGCTGACAGGCGGGCAGAGGCACAGGAGGACACACGTTCGCAGCTGGAGACAGGAGCGTGTATCAAGGTACCGAGGGAGAGATTGTACAGGAAGAGGCTGGAGATGGTGCTGGGAGATGGAGAGGATAATAATAGATGGAAAAACAGACATGCCAGATGAGACCAGAAACCTTCGTGTTATTCAAAACAAACCAACCGGGATAATCACCGTGCCTTTCTGCTGGATAGGAACGAAAGCAAATCCGTTTGTTTGGTTTTGTTTTAATTATTTTTGTTTGTTGTTGTTGTTATTCGGAGACCTGAGGACAAACTTTCCAGTCCCATACCGTGTGTTAGGGGTGTGCTCCACGTCATTTAAAATGCAAATAGCCCCTCTCTCTGGGGGGAGAAGGGCTGCCTTCTTCCCTTGCCCTTGGAGGA